GCCTGGGTCCCATCCCCTGTCCCAGGGCCACCAGCCAGACACCTGGGTCCCTTCCCCTGCTGCGGGTCCCCTCCCCTGCCCCAGGACCAGCGCCGGACGCCTGGGTCCTGTCCCTTCCCATGCAGGGCCAGTGCCACACCCTGCCACCTGGATCTCTGGGTCGTCCCCCCCCGCCGTCTGGATGCCTGGGTCCCCTCCCTTCCCGCCCCCCGCCGGCCGGACGCCTGGGTCCCCTCCCTTCCCCCAGCCGCCGGCCGGACGCCTGGGTCCCCTTCGCGGGGGCTGCTCTCCCTGACGCGCCGCACTCTCTCCGCAGTCCCTGACGGCCCCTCGGACCTGCGCGCTGTCAACGTCGCCGACACCTCGGCCCTGCTGCGCTGGCGCCCGCCCCAGGCCCCCGTCCAGAGCTACGAACTGAGCTACGGGCCCCCCCAGGGTGAGTGCGGGGGCAGGGCGTCACTCCCCTCCCCTCCCCCGGCGGGTGGCTCCGCCCCTGGCGCCCGGGTCCCTGGGGTCCCTCACCCGCCTGTCCTGGGTCCGGGCGGCCGGCACAGGCGTCTCCGGGGCGCTGGGCTGTCGGGTCCCTGCAGCCCGGTCCCCCATTGCCCGCCCCGGCTCCTTCGGGCTCCCCCCGGCGCCCCCACGACCTCATCATCCCGGGGGGGCAGCTCAGCCCGGCCCCCCTCACCCCAGCTCTCCCCCCAGGCCCCTCGGTGACGCTGCGGCTCCCCGGGGACCGGGCCGAACACCCCCTGTCCGGGCTGCGGCTCGACACCGAGTATCTGGTCAGCGTCCACGGGGTGACGAGGGGCAACCGCAGCTCCCCCACCAGCGCCACCTTCACCACCGGTACGGGGGCAGGGATGAGGGGGTGGGGGGGGAGGAAGGATTGGGGGCGGCAGGGGGAGGGGGGTCACAGGGAGGGGTGGGGGAAGCAGAGGGGGAGGGAGAGGGAGCGACGGGGGGAGGGGAATGGGACGGGGGGAGGTCGGGGGGGGTCTCTGGTTCACTCTCCCCTCCCCCAGGGCTCGACGCCCCCCGGGACCTGCGAGCCACCGAGGTGACCCCCCGCAGCGCCCGGCTCTCCTGGACTCCCCCCCGCGTGCCCCCTGCCGGCTACCTGCTCAGCTACGAGACGCCTGCCGGCCAAACGCAGGTACTGGGGACCCCCCAGACCCCCCTCGTATCCTCCTGCCCAGCCGCCCCAGCCCTGCTCCCCCCAACCCCACCCCCTACATCCCCCGCCCCAAACCCCCATTACAACACCTCCCCCATCCCCCCAGCCCCTCCCCCAT